GGGGGAATGGAGGCGCTGCTTCTCCCGACCTGGGCTTTGGAGATGATTGGCAGGGGACAGAGAAAACCTTTTCTCATCTCTGGGCCTTGGAAGCATAACAGAGGCAGTCTGCCCTTCTGTGGTGTGTAAATGTGCTGACAGGGCTCTTTTATCCTCTGGGTTTCCGAGGCTCCATGGATGGAGGAGGCTGTCATCAGACACTAGCTGGCTTGCAGATTTTGAACTGGAAATAAGTAGAAACTCAAAGGGATGCAATGGCTACTGAGGTATTATCTATCTGTAGCGAGGCTGGGACACAGCAGTATTAGTTTTGGGGTCATTTTGGTACTATTGACTTAATGGATAGCCCAAGACACAAACACACTAGTGCAGTTTGGGACCAGGAAATCCTGGTTCCTGTTTGCTCATGTACCTCCAACAAGCAGAATCACTGAAGGTTTCCAATGCACTCTAATATTGGTACAGAAACTTTGTTGCGAGTCTCTGTACAGCTCTACTTTTCCTGGGAGATAGGAGAGTCATTGTAAGATGCCAACTTCTGGATTAACTTCCTTTTGGAGTCCCATGAGCTAGACCTCAGCTGGAGAAGCTGCAGCTTGTAGAAATAGATGCCAACCCGGATGAGGTCTCTCCTAACTAAGAGGCTGCAATGAACAGAATTTACAGTGTTGTTATATCCAACTGATTTCTTCTACTTTTCTTACGTATTGGTGCAATACAATTATACTGCTAAATAAGGTCATCATTCTTTGCACAGAAGTCTGTGATTGACAAATGTTAAGGGGTCTCCTGAACTTGTCTTTTTAAGTTGCCATATTTTCCAGAAATACTGGACCCAGAGTATGCAGGAGACCCTGAATGTGTCCAGCCAGGATGGCCCCTCCCCATCTGACATAACTTTTGTACCCCAAGCTGGATTCTCTGTGTGTCCTTGAGAGGCAAGACATACGCCAGCCAGTCTGTGCCAGGCTGGGAAAATGCTTGTGCAACTGGGGTCCTTTACAGATAAGCAAATCCTCCTATCTTCACGGTCTAGAAATTTCCAAGGGAAAAGAATGTGACTTTTGCCATTACCTTGCTCTTCCCCTTCAGGAGTGGTTTTGTCCTTTTCGCCTCCATTACAGTACCTTTCCCTACCATGCTACACCCCTTCCTGTCTTCTCCTATTCCTTTTGTTGTACTGTCATAAATATGCAAACTTCTGTAAGGACTGTGAACTCTTTGGGTGCCATACGCGTGCTCATTTCTCTTGTAAGAAACCTGGTTTTCACATAAGTCTCGTGACGTTGTGATGGCTTGTTAATACACGGCATGCTGTGAAAAGAAGGAAGGTGCATGGCCCATGAAAGCTCAGAATGTAATCCAGGGACTGAACAAATCTTATTCCTAGAAACATACAAAATAAGAGCTTGGAAAAAGCAACAATGGAAGATGGAGTAGTTGAGTGACAGTCTATATGCTAAGGTCCTGACTGCAAACCGATACCAAGAGCTGGTTACAGCATCTCCTAGTCATTACAGAAAGGTACCCAGGATAGCCTCATACAACTGACTGCTTGTCCTCCCTGCGTCTTGGAAGTGTAGGGGGGAAATTGGATCCTATGGTTTTTTAAAATGAGAGTTGTTGTTTGTTTATATGTCTGGTATGAGTCTGATGGAAACAAAAGTCAAACAACTATTTCCAAAGGATACAATTGGTTCTAACATCATAATATCAAAGAGGAAAATGACTAGTTCCCTTGTGGGAAAACAGAGGACAATGAGCAAGGCTATGCTTGGCTCCAGTAGGAGAAGTAACAGAAGGGAAGGAAGACCTGAGAAAGAGGACATTAAGGAAAGCACACACACACACACACACACACACACACACACGCATATATATATATATATATATATATATACATTTTATATATATATATACATATACATTTTATATATATATATAGATAGATATAGATATAGATATAGATATATAGATATAGATATATATATACTCATTTGTGTCTAATGGTAGCCATCACTAGGGCAAGGGTGAGGGAAGAGGGGTAAGGGAAAAAAAAGAAATTTACATGATAATTTTGTTGTATATTTGAAAGGAATATCAAGTTATACATAGTAGATTTATAGTTTCATATGCAATCATCTTTTTTATTGTGCTATGTTATGGAAATGCTTGTTTTATTCCATAAATGAAATTTTTTTTTAAAAAAACACCATGAGGTGAACTCAGAGGAAAGGTGAAGCAAAGCAGTCCTCAGGAAGAAATGGCATCTCCCCAAACCCCATTTCAAAATGCATTTCAATTGAAATTATCTAGCTAAACATGCCCCTTTTCAGCAAACTTTCAGGAATAGGAGATCAGCTATTGTAAGCCAGATCTGACCCAGGCCAATCTAGTAGTTTAGGTTTAGAATTAGAAGGAAATGTGATCCTGGTTAGATACCATACAACTGAACAAAGGGAGGTTTACTTAACTATAAGAAGAAAAGGACCTTCAGTAAGGATACAGCATCACTCCACAGTTGGGCCTAGCTTCCCTTCCGGCCTCTGTGTTAGTCAGGTTGGTAGTAGCTCCTGACCCTTCAAGCACTGATTTTTGTATTTAGTCCACCAAGAAGTTATTAGTGGTTTGAGTTTCAATTTCCTGAGCCAAGGACAGATTCAATACAAAATAAGAAAAAACTAGCCTAGCCTACATGGGGTAAGGCCTTAGGATATTGTTCCTACCACTAACCAAAAATATTCAGTATTATTTTTATGACTCTTCTTTTTACCTCCCATCTGACATTCTGTTCTTTGCTGTCTAGTTTCTGATTATCAAAGTATGGATTGCCCTGTTCCTATTGGTTTAATAACTTTTATAAGTACAATGGGGTTCTAAGTATTGACTAGAAATTCCTGGCATAGACATTGTGCTGAAGAATTCATGTGGCTGTCCTTTCCAAAGTTCCTCTCAGGCTTAGGATCCTTTGAATAACTAAGTTTTCTGATAAATCAACAATGTTCCTTTTCCAGAGGGCTCAGAAACAGATTCATCTAATTTTCCATATTTCCACTAGAGGGCAGCATGCTCCCATAATTTTCTTTTCTTGTTATGCAATGAGATGCGGAAACATCCAATCCAACTCAATGAACATTTTTTTGAGCATCCACTGTGTGCAAAGTGATGTCTTCTAAGGGTAATGCAAAGGCATTGTCATGGAGCTTTTCATTTGTCATTAAAGTAGAAATAGTATTTGATTACAGGGGCAGTGAGGAGGTGCAGTGGATAGAGCCCCAGGCCTGAGGTCAGGAAGACTCATCTTCCTGAGTTCAAATCTGGCCTCCAACACTTACTAGCTGTGTGACCCTGGCAGGCAAGTCCCTTAACCTTATTTGCCTCAGTTTCCTCATCTGTACAATGAACTGGGGAAGAAAATGGCAAACCCCTCCAGTATCCTTGCCAAGAAAACTCCAAATGGGTCACAAGGAGTTGAACAAGACTGAAAAATTGATTCAATTCAACAAATATTAGGAGGCACCTACCATGTTCAAGGCACTGTGCTAGAGACACAGACAAAAAGGAACCAGTCCCTGCCCTGAAAGAGCTTCCATTCTATTGGGTGATAGGACAGATACACAGACAGGTCCAATACAGGGTTTGGAGTAAAGGGGTCAAAGGACAGATCAACAAAAAGCAACAGGAATATTTGAGGAGAGAATCCTAATTACTGGAGGAATCAGAGAAAACCTGATGAGGGAGAGGGAAGCTGAGCCTTTAAGAAGATAAAGGGGGACTACATCCAGGAACGTGCTAGAGTGTGTGCAAATGCACCAAGGGAGAAATGGCATTTCAAGTTCAGGGAACAATCAGTAGTAGCTCAATTTGGCTGGAATTTGGAGTATGTAAATTGGGAGTAATTTGAAAACAAACTGGGAAGGTAGGTTGAAGACAGATTATAAAGAATTTTGAATGGCAGGTTAAGTAACTTGTATTTTTATTCTAAAAGGAATATGGAATGACTGAAGGGTTTTGAGTGGAGGAGTGGTATGGAAAGTGTCTTAGGGAAGATTATGTTGGGAATTATATGAAGTAGAGAGTAGAAAAGAGAAAGACCAGTGTCAGGGAAACCAGAGTAGAAAGCTTTCACAGTCATCTAGGTGAGAGATAATGAGAATCTGAACTAGGATAACGATTCACCCTGTTAATGGAAAAGAGAAGGGTGGAAGAGATATGGTAGAGACTGAATCAATAGGACTTGACAACCAATTGTATATAGGACAAGGAAGGGGGAAAGGGGAGAGAATCAAGGATGACTTCATAATTAGAAAATAAGGTGATGGATAGGATAGTACCACCCTCCTTAGAGAGCAGGAAATCTGAAGGTGACACAGGTTTAGGAGGAAAGATGATTTATTATATTTTGAACAAGTTAAGTTTCATAGGCTAAGTGGACATATAGAGGAAGATGTCAAAAGGCAGATAGAGATATGAATGTGGAGTTCAGAAGACTGATCAGGGCCGTATATACTTACAGATTTGGGATTCATCTGCATAAGGATGATCATTGAACCAATGGTAGCAGATGAGATAACCAAGGAAGAAAACCTAGAAAGGAAGAAGGTTCAGGACAGAATCTTGGGGGAATTCCATGCTTACTGGTTGGGAGATGGATGATGATACAGCAAAGAAGACTGAAAAGCAATGGAAAGACAAGAGGAAGATGAATCAGGTGAGAGCAATGATAATAGAAGCCAAGGTAGGAAAGAGTATCCAAAAAAAGAGGAGTTTGTTTATAGTGTCAAAAGCTGCAAAAAGTTCAATAAGTCAACCAGTATATATTTATTAAGTGATCACTACGTGCCAGGCAGCCATCTAGGTTTTGGGGATACAAGTTCAAAAAGTGAAACAATCTCTACTTACAAGAAGTTTATATTATAATAAACAGGATGTGGATTAAGAAAAGGTCGTTCCATTTCGTGGTTGTAAAAGAGCCTTGGTTTGAACTTTGACAGGGAAGTTTCAGTAAAGTGGTGAGACCGAAAGCCATGTTGCAAGGAGCTAAGAAGTGGGTGGCTGCCGAGAAAACGGAGACATCATATGGGGATGACTCTGCCATTTAGCAGTAAAAGGGAAGAGAAGTATGTAATGATTATTTGAAGAAATGGCTGAGCTCAGTGAAGGTTTTTCTTCATGAACGAGAGAGACTTCAGCATATCTGCAAGCAGTGGAGAACGAGTCAATAAGTAAAGAAAAAATTGAAGGTGAGAGAAAGAGACAAGGAATGATTGGCAAGGTGAGTTTCCAGAGGAGATGGGAAAGGAAGAGATGGGATCAAGGAAACATATAGAAGGGTTGGCCTTGGTAAGGAGAAGGTCTACTCAACCTTAGGGGCTGAAGGAAAAAGAATAGAAAAACAAGGGAAAATGTAGAAAGGTTTTGAGGTGTAGTATGAAGGAAGCTAGGGATCTCAGACCAAACGGTCTCACTTTTATACAGTGAGGGAAGAGACAATGTCATCTACAGACACAGAGAGAGGAAGGTTGGGTTGGTGTTAGGGAGTTAAGAAAACAAGGGAAGGTTTGAAACAGTTATTGCTACATGGAACATATTACAGAGTGAATCAGGGGAAAAAATAAAAGAACTGCCATGCAGTAGTGAAGGCCCAGTTGACATGAAATAACATAAATCTTCTAGTGTTCAATAAACCAGTTATTCAGGTGTTCAGGTGTAGCTAAGATCAAAGAAGGCATACGGTGGGAGGTATTCTGAGAAAGGCTGAAAGACTTACCCAAGGTCACACAACTAGGGAGTTTCTGAGGCAAGCTTCAAATTCAGGTTTTCCTGATGACAAGTCCTATGTTCTATGTATTTTGTCACCTAGCTGCCTAATGAACAAGATGAGCGGCTGAGGTGGAGTGGAAGACAATGGGCCAGGCACTAGACTCTTTGAGAAAAGAAATAGAGTGACCTGAAGGCCATTAGACAGCAGCAATAAGCATCTATATGGGGTCATTTAAATGGATGAACTGAACCTCAAGTGAGAGGTTATTGAGTAATGATAGTAGGAAGGCTCAGGATCTGGCAGTGACAGTGAGGACAGCAAGGAGTTACCGTGCCCCTCCTGGTTCTATGTGCCAAAGGATATAAGAGAAGGAACTCCAGTTGTTGGAAAGGTAGGCCGAGGAGGTGTCTCCCAGACGAATCCAAATTTCCGTGAGCTATAGAAGAATTTAAAAGGAAGAAACATTGGGATGAACTGGAGTTAATGAACAATACAACAGGGATGTCAGAGGGCAAGATAGAAAGAAGGGCAGAGAAACGTGGGTGTGGGGCGAGAGAAGGACCGAGCTCGAGATGAATGAGAGAGCAGGGAAGAGAGATCACAAGAGAAGGGGAGTTCTACTTTGATAGACAGAGCCTCTGAATCACAAGGACTGGGTAAGCAGGAGGTGGGAGTTTACTAACCATATGGCAGGGGAAATATAGGAATATAGAATGAAGGATTCAGTAAATGAGAATTATTTTTAAAGACAATAGTTACTCACAATTATACAACACTTTACAGCTTACACAGCTCTCCCAAAAGAGTTGTCAGCTCCCTGGATGCTCACAAGCCTTTGAATGAGTTAGTTCAACCATTATTTCCTCCATTTTACAAATGGAACAACTGAGGCTCAGAAAGGTAAAATAACTTGCCCAGGGTTATGATTGGGGGGGGGCGGGGAAACTTGGACTTTTATCCTTAGCTGTTAAGCTCCCAATGGGTATTAAAGTTTTGCTCTTCTTCTAATCAATTAACTAGTCTTGGACTGTGCTAGACAATGGAGTCACAAAGACAAAAACGAAGCAGTTCTTGCCCTCAAGGAGCTTACATTCTATTACAGGAGGGGTTGTTATGCAGTCATTTAGTCCTGTCCAACTCTTTGTTACCCCATGGACCACAGCATGCTAGGCCCTTCTGTGCTCCACTGCCTCTCAAAGTCCATCCAAGTGCATGTTCATTGTTTCTATGACATTATCTATCTAGGCAGTGATCCAGAGGGACATTGAAGTAGGGGACATGTACACATATTAGTATATACAAAATAAATACCTGATCAATCTAAGTAAATACAAGGTATTGTAAAGTTCAGGGATTACAAGAGGAAGATCATCTCAGATGCTAGCAAAGGGGCTTAACCCATGGGCCATCTGGAGATTCTTTCATCCATTCAACAAATACAAAGTGCTTGCTACATACAAGACACTATGCTGGACACTGTGAGAAACACAAAGATACACAAGTCATGCTTGGTTTAGAGTAGGATGTCCTGCCTTGGTGATGAATGCAAGGAACTGAAAAAGAGTAGGAGAGTCTTTAAGGTTGCTAGTTATACTCATCTCAAAAAGTTTACAACCTGAAAATTCAACTCACAGCTTCTCCTCTACTTCAAAAGAATTCCAGTGACCCTCATCAGGATAGGCAGCAAGGGATAATGACTAGTGTATTGGACTTGAAATCTGGAGTCCTGCATCCTTATTCTGGCTCTTATGCTCAGTTTGCTATGTAAGCTTCAGCACTGTGCTTAAACTCTCTCTGAGGCTCTGTTTCCTAATCTATAGAATGGGTATAATAATATTTGCATTGACCTACCTCACAGTGTTGCTTGTTATGAGGAAAACTCTTGATACAGTAAGTGGGAGGGGGGAGGAAATAAGCATTTATTAAGCACCTTCTATGTGCCTGCGCTGTGCTGAGTGCTTTACAAATATCACCTCACATGATCCTCACAATAACTTTGTGAGGTAGGTGCTAGTGCTTAATTACTCTGGAGTCAGAAGTCCAGGGTTCAGATCCTAATTTTTTTTGTTGTTTAACTAATTAATTTTTAGTTTTCAACATTCACTTCCATAAGCTTTTGAGTTTTAAATTTTCTCCCCCTCCCTCTCCACCTCCCTCCCCAAGATGGCACACAATCTGACATAGGCTCTACATATACATTCCTATAAAAGGCTCTACATATACATTCCTATAAACACATTTCCACATTAGTTATGTTGTAAAGAAGAATTAGAACCAATAGGCAGAACCACAAGAAAGAAGAAACAAAAAAAAACTGAAGAGAAAAAAAAAGAGCAAATAGTATGCTTTGATCTGCATTCCAACTCCATAGTTCTTTCTCTGGATGTGGATAGCATTTTCTGTCATGAGACCATTGCTGAGAAGAGCTAAGTCTATCAGGGTTAATCATTGCACAATGTGGCTGTTAATTGAAGTTTGCTTGCTCATTCAGATCCTACTTTTGACACTCATTATATATGTGACCTGAAGAAAATTACTTAATCACTTAAGTAAAAGCAACGAGATGGTACAGTGGTTAGATGGAGTGCTGAACCTGGAGTCAGGAAGGCCTGAGTTCATATCGTGGCTTACATACTTATTAGCTGTGTGATCCTGGGCAAGTCACTTAACTTTTATGATCCTTGGTTTCTTTATTTGCAAAATTGTAATAATAGATAGAGCTCTGGCCTTGGAGTCAGGAGGATCTGAGTTCAAATCTGGCCTCAGACACTTGACATTTACTAGCTGTGTGACCCTGGGCAAATCACTTAACCCCAACTGCCTCACTGAAAAGTGAAAAAAAACAAAAAAGAACCTCCAGGTCTAGAGCAAAGATTTCTGAACACTGAAACTCTCTATAAAAAAAGTTCCAAACAAAATGGTAATAATAATATTATGTACACAGCAGGGTTGTTGAGAGGATCAAATTGAGATAACATATGTAAAGCACTTTGTAAAACATAAAGCCTTCTTTAAATGTAATTACTATCATTAAGTATTAATCCAGCTAGATGACACAGTGGACACAGTGGATAGAGGATCCAAACCTGGAATCAGGAAGACCTGAGTTCTAAACCAGCCTCTGACAACTACCAGCTGTGTGACCCTGGGTAAGTCACTTAACCAATGTTTGTAACCCTTGTTTTTAACCTCATCTGTAAAATGGGAAATTAATAGCACCTCCCTTCCAGGATTGTTGGGAGAATCAAGTAAGGTAATAACTGTAAAGTGTTTAGCACAGTATGTCCCACAGAGTAGGCTTCATCACACATAAATGAAGGGGTTAGACCATGGCCTCTAAGATCTAGACGTATAATCCTATGAACCATAAGGCACTTAAATAATGTTATTATTCTCTGGAAGAAAGGAGCAGCGTCTAGAGAAGTATCTTTGGAGTCAGGAATACTTGGGTCCGAGTCCCTCTGGGACACATCCTTGGTTATGGGAGCCAGGTAGTTCACAATGTCTCGCTGCCCTCTCTAGGACTCAGAGGAGGTGTCGATCGGAGTCAATAGACAGAGTTTCCTCAGTAAGAATACCAATAAAACACCGATAAAGTCACAGATCTCATCCAAGAGACAGAGGCGGCATCTGCACAGGGAGGATCATTTGGGCTCGTGAGACCTGCTGAGGATACCAAGGGAGAGACTGGAGAGAGGACAGAGCCCAGGAGCACACACCCAGAGTTAGGGGGCACCACACGGATGATGAATGACCAAAGGACATTGAGAAGAAACTGCCTCAAGTCTGTCCCCACTTCAGCCTAGCCTCCACCATCTGCCAAAGTGACTTTTCTAAAGCCACCCGGCCCCTCAACACCAGTGGCTCCCTGTTACTTCCAGGAATAATTATACGGTGCTCTTTTGGATGGTTAGAGCTCTTCTCTACATCTTCAGTCTTCTTTACCCTTCTCTCCACACATCGAGGGTCCAACACTCTAGTCTACTCACTTTTTTCCTCACAGGATGCTCCATCTCCCGTCTCTTACTTTGTACGTACCTGGGCGACTCTCCTTGCTCACTTCCAACCTCTTACATTCCCTTGGCTTCCTTCAACACTGCAGCCTGCAGCAGGAGGCCTTTCCCAGTGGCCCCAGCTGCTAAAGCCTCCTCTTCTGAGGTTACATCTACTTTGTATGGTTGCTATTTCTTTATGTATTGTATCCCCCTTTAAAATGTGAACTCCTTGAAGGTAGGGACTATTTTTTTGCCTTTCTTCATATCCCCAGCACTTAGGACAGTACGTGGCATATAATAACAGCATGCTTGCTGACTGACTGACCTAGATGCACTAACAGACCATCATTACCAGTGCCCCTCAGTTACTAATTAGACCCTGAGTCACACAGGTGACTGTGAGCATGCATATATTCATGCACATTTCATCTGAACTTTCTACCCTATGGGCCCCCAAATCATTATCCATTGGTACTACTGTAAGGAGGGAATAGAGAGTGTGGAGTGAGCTGCAATGCCCTCAGACCCTTTTCAGCCTCTCCCATCAGACACATGGCTGCCTCTGCCCTCCCTCCTGGCTTTCTGCTTCCCCCTCCCCTTTTCACCACCCCCTCTTCTGCGCAAGTGTAACATTTGCCAGGCCCCCTGTGTTTACATGGTTTTCTTCACAGACAACATGGATGCAATGGTTTTCTTGAAAAAGTCGCTGAAGAAATCTACAGTTTTTATAAAACACCTTTCTCTTGTGGAGGAAGCCCTCCATCCTCAGGAGATCTGGCCAGCCTGCTTGAGAATAAATACGCTTCACTTCTACCAAGGGCTGATGCAGAGCCTATAGGGAGGCCTGCCGTTCAAAGCAGACTGCTCAGTCTCATCTGGCTGAGGTAGCACAATACAGTGAATGCTTATAGAGGAGTCTGACAACCTGGGTTCAAATTCTGCCTCTGACACTTATTACATATATATAAAGACAGGCAAGTCCTTTTACCTCCCTGGGCCTCAGTTTCCTCCTCTGTAAAATGAGAGGATGCGGTAGAACAGATGACCTCTAAGAGTCCCTCTTGATCTATGAGATCTCAGCCTCCATGGTGGTGACAGGGCAGTGCCCAGTCAAAGGCTGCCTGGGAGGGTCTGGGCAAGGAGGGTGGACAGTACAGAACGTTCTTTTATTTTCATGGTAAAATCTCTGCCGCTCAGTGGAAAAGCCAGGTAGTCAATGGCTGACACCCAACACCAAGCCCACTCACCACCTGCCAGTAGCTGAAATATATTTCACAGAAATAGACTCTTAGACTCTTTGGGTAGAGTGAAAGCACCCAGAGGGCAGGAGATCTTTTGTTTTTCTCTTTGCACACCCACAACCTTGCTGAGTGCCTGTTGTGAAGCTTTGGATTGATTCAGCCTCTTTTGCACACAAGCCACTACCAAGCCAAGTATTCCCCAGCCTGCATGTACGCAATTGGGTGTTTTAAAAGCTTAAATATAGTACTTCACATCTGTCCTTGTTAGATGTCCTCTTGTTGGTTTCGGTCCTACATCACACCCAATCAAACTGAATGTTAAACTAGTCACTGTTGGGATGCGCCATCCCTCCCAGCTTTGCACAGCCTGCAGATTTGGTAAGCGTTTGTCAACCAAGTATTTGACAAAATCACTGAATAGACAAGCACCAAGAACAGAACCATATGGCGTTCCTCTAAAGGTCTCTCTTTCGGTCAACACAGAAACACTGGCATTTATTAGAAACCATTATTCAATCCATTGGGAATCAATGGACCTAACATCCTTCTCACACAGCCCACATTTCACTGCCTTTTCCACAAGGATTGCATGAGAAACTTAGTCAAATGCTTTGTTAGAATCATGGCTCTTAAGCTAATGACCCAATTGAAAAAGAGAATAAGATGAGCCTGGCAGAGAGCTGTAATTATCAGCCAGAGGGTTACCAGGAGCTTTGCCACACGGGTAACCGCATGGTGGGGGGAGAGGGGGGGAGGGAAGGGTGGGCTTCCTCTTTGAAAGCTGATGTTACTTGGGGCTTTACTTCCTCCCCAAGGCAGCCTCCAGGGGGTGGGGAGGTGCAGTGGAGGACCACAGTGGAGGGCCACTAGACAGGAAGGGCCATCCCAGAGAGGAAGTGGACTTGTCCCTCTAACTGCATGGCCCATCGGGCTGCCGTCCCTCTCCCATGGCCGTGTGGCTGTGGCAGCTCTCTCCTTGGGTGCTCTCCCCCAACAGCAAGCCTGCACCAGCCTTCTACCACCTAGTCTGGGGAACCAGCAGAATGATCAGGATCGGCAAGATGGCCTCAGGGAATGCCTGGGTGCCCCTTCCCCCCATAGCTGCACCCCTTCCTCACACTATACCTGCGATGGATAGCTGGTAACAACTGCTGCTGATCTCAAATGATCATATTCTTTTCTAAATGTTTTTTAACCACCTCATTTCAAACTCTAGAATTTTACCTAACCCACATATGCTTCCTATTTCCAGATTTCTTTAAAGTATGACTCAAAAAGAAAAATTCCTTACTCACTTCATTCAAGCAGTCATGAGCTTCAGGAGTTCCTTCTACTGAGGCACTTGCTGGGCCTCTGAAAGCAGATCTGAGGGAGGCCAGGGAATGGTCCAAGGAATACCAGCAGGCCTATTAGGTATGGCTGTAACACAATAAGAGACCCTTAGCATCCTCTCCACCAAATGGAAGTGTCCATATGGGCAGTGAAGAAAGGGGCTTAACACTTGAAGAAGCCAGAGCATCTCCCCTGACCTCCAATGTCTGGGCTAGTACCCCTGGTAGGTTAGGGAAGCCTGGTCTCAGAGGCAGGCACGTTCCCCTCTGGAAATAATAAAAAGAAAGCTCTGGAGGCTTCTGAGAGAACCCTGTAGAGCTAAAATCTCTACAAAATGCAGCAAACAGGGCCCCCAGTGTTTCACTCGCAGGGTAATTCCGGAAAGGAATGTGCTGACCACATGGAAGCCTTGAGTCTCTGCCTGAGCTGGAAGCAAGTTAAGACTGGAGGGGGAGGGAGGGGCGGATGTTGGCTGGAGGAGGATGGTAGAGAACCAGGACCCTGAGCAGACCTTTCAAAGATGAACGCATCTTTGACTACTCTCCTCTAGCTAAACACAGGGACTGGTTAAAGAAGAGCCAGGCCATTCAGAGCCACTAGCAGTTTCATGTCTGTTAGTTTTCTGAACCAGGCTGTCTGTGAGGTCCTCGAGGATAGGGTATGAGTGCCTGGGGAGATAGCATAGTACAAGGGATTGAGTGCTGGGGGGAAGTCACTACACTTTTTCTAGGTCTCAGTTTCCTCATCTGCAAAAGGAGGTAGTTGGATTAGATGGACTCTGGGGTCCCTTCTGATTCTAAATCTCTGATCCTGTGAATCTAGTCTTTAACATGTGCCTTGGGCCTTGGGATGCTCCCATCCGCATTGTGTGCAGCTCTATCAATGGAAAGAGAGCAATGTTCTATTACTGGAGCCTGAAAGGGACCTCTGGAGCCAGACTGCTCTTACACTCAACCTCTATGGTGCCAACATGCTCTTACAAAGGGTGGGGGCCAGGTTATGGGTCATTGCTTCCATCATGCTGTTTCTTTGGATTACAGGATTTTGAGCTGGAAAGTTCCTAGAAATCACTTAGGCCAGTCTTACCAAACTCAAATAGAAATGAGGGCCACTAAACTGTCCATAAGGATCCCTGCAGGCTGCATATTGACTTAGAAAACCACATATTAACGTTATATATGTTGTGGCTAATATGGAAATATGTTTTGCATGACTGCACATGTATAATTGATATCATATTGCTTGTCTTCTCAATGGGTGAGAAAGGGGCTGGAGGGAGGGAGAGAATTTGGAACTCGAATTTTTTTTTAAATGAATATTAAAAACAAATGAATAACGAATTTTTAAAAGATCGAAAAAATGATATACATTCTATTGTATTTTGTTTATTTTGTTAAATAGTTCCCAATTACATATTAATCTGGTTCAGGCAGCATTCTGGAGGCCCTCAGTAGGGTTGCTGACCACATGTCTGACACCTTTGACCTAATCTATGGGTTCTTAGCCAGAAGTCCTACAATTTCCATGGGTCTGTGAACTTGGATGGGAAAAAAAAATTTAATTTTCATTAATTTCTAACTGAAATTTAGCATTTCCTTAAATTACCTAAAAATGTTACCCTGAAAAGAGGTCTATAGGCTTCGCCAGACTGCCAAAGGGATCTATGACACACAAAAAAGTTAAGAACCTCTGATCAAATGGTTGAAAAAATCGAGGTCCAGAGAAGTGAAATGCCTCAACCAAAGTGTTCAGGTATGTGGTGCTGGTCCAGCCAAGCCATGAACATGGACACCCATAAACATCCCCCTCACACCACCACTATAACCACAAAAGCAACAGAGCTGAGAATCAAACCCAGGTTTTCCAAGTCCAAATAATCCAGCACTATTCCCATGGCACCATTTTATGGTCTTTCACCTGTTACTAAGCATTGCTGACATACTCCTCTGATGGCAGGACATGACCAAGACCCTTTGGTCATTTGTTCTTTCCATAAGCTGTAGAAGAAGAAGTCAAGGGAAACATTCCCATCATATAGACAAAGAAACCAAGAGAAAATAGAAGGCAGCTTCTCTAAGTCTCATGGCCCACCATGCAGGAGGAGCGCAGGGATCAGAACTCATGAAACCTCTGCTCTTTGCCATGGAGCTGTGCTGGCTCCCTAGAACAAGGATCTAGATTTAGAGCACCTGCAGTTGACATCATGTTTATAGATGTGATTTTTAGCATCCTTAAGGCTCTCTTAAAAAGATACGATCATTCGTACTCTGTAGTGGCTCTTACAAAACTCCAAAAGGATTATTACTGCTGACATACGGCACTAAGGTCAGGACAAAAAAGATGAAATGAAGATGCAGGAAAGCTTGTTCTCAATCACATACGTATAATAAAGCTAGAAATGTAGCTATGAACAGAGGAAGACAATAACCTTGCCACCCAGATTTAGGTGGCATTTGTTTCTATGCCTTTTCCTTTATCATTTATTGTATGGGAGATCAAGTTGAGGGTTGAAAAACTGGAGGACTCAACCCTGAGATCCCTTGGCAATTTGTTGGAAGAGCAGCTTCCAAACAGATGCCAACTAGATGCAGTTTAGTCAACAGTCATTAATCAGGAAACCAGAAGGAATTTCTAACTCTATGTCAAAGTGTGGTTTCTGACAGAGGCCCTGCTCTTAGTGAACAGGAAGTGGAAAGTTAAAAAAAAAAATAGACTTAAGCCTATGGACACTAAAGAGCTAGACTTTTCTGTGTTCCAAAAAGCTTGCTTTTCGAGCAAAGAAACTCCTTTTGAAGAGGAATTTTAGCCAAGACTCTATGAACAGATAGATCGTCCTTATGGAAAGAAAAACCAGTAAGTTTGGGGAAGGGGAACATCTTTATTACAATTATTGGGCATGTTGGGGCAAAGGCTTCTCTCTAAAAGAGCTGCTGTTGGGGGCTGCGAAGAGGTGCAGTGGATAAAGCACAGGCCCTGGATTCAGGAGGACCTGAGTTCAAATCCAGCTTCACACACATGACACTTACTAGCTGTGTGACCCTGGGCAAGTCACTTAACCCCCTTGCCTAGCCAAAAATAAAGAAAGAAAGAAAATAAAGAAAAGAGCTGTTGTTTAAATAGGCAGCTAAGTGATGCGTTGGACAGAGATGTCAGGAATATGTGATTCCAGGCCTGTCTCCCATACTTACTAGCTTTGTGACTGGGCAAGTCACTTAACATTTAAGTGGCACGCTGGGTAGAGTGCCAGGTCTAGAATCAGGAAGACCTGAGTTCAAATCCAGCCTCAGAGTACCCAACGGTGTGACCCTGGGCAAGTCTCTTAATTTCTATTTGCTTCAATTTCTTCATCTACAAAATAGGGATTATAATAGCACCTACCTCCCAAGGTTATTGTGAAGACCAAACGAGACAATAATTGCAAAGTTCTTAGCACAGTGCCTGGTATATATTACCATGTAAATGTTAGTTATTATTACTATTATATTATTATTATTCCAGCTGTCAGTTTCCTAATCAATAAGAGATAATAACAGCACCTACCTCACACAGTGGTTGCAAGGAACAAATGAGCTAACATAGACAGTGCTTCACACACTTTGAAGTACTATATAAATGCTGGTCATTATTAAACCCTCGATTTTAAGCTAAATGTGAAACAGAAAGGAATAGCTCCTCAGCTGAGGACTCTGGCTAAACCAGAAACCAGAAGCGGACAAAAGGTCCCCAGCTTCGAGTCCATGGGAACCATGCATGGCATTGAGCAATGATGAGCAGGGAAGCACTATTAAACATCAGCCACGTGAGATCAGAAGGGGCTTGATGTTGGGGACGATGGCACATTGTCTACATGTTCATGAGAGACTGACTCTGTGCATGCCTGGCAGAGTCTGAACTCCATATGGAAATCAGCAGAACGGAGCCTGGCACGGACAGGGCAATAGCACCCACAGAAGACATCCATGGCTCTCCCATGAGAGCTCGCATGAGAATTGCCCCTCCATGTGCATACTCCAGCACTAAGTGTTCTCTCAGCATGCACCCTTTCCTCACCGATGGTGTTTGTAGTCTTGGGAAAACCTGAATCAGGTTTATGGGGAAACGGCTTAATTGCTGCCTTTCTTACTAGGCAATTTCATGAAATGCCTTCCCTCTGAACTAATTGTGTTCTTTATCCTCCTGGAAAAACTAAGCATTTCAATGAAGGATTGTGAGCTATTGTTTTGGATAACTTTGGACCCCCAGAGTCCCTTGAAGCTAGGGTATCCTTGTCCAAAGTCCTCACTATACAAATTGAGGATGAGGAGAAGGCTGGAAATACTCCCAGCTGCTGCAAAAAAATTATAACCTACCTCCTCCTTCAAATCTAGAGTTTACATTTGCATAAGAAAGGGGAAATATGAGGATCCATCCAGCATTGGGAATGAAAATAAGCCTAAGCTAACCTTGATTTAGCTGGTCTTTAGCAAACTGAAATATGAAGATAATTAGCATCATAAAGGAGATAACCAAATTCATTCTACACTAGGCTCAGAAAACTACATCTGGGACCACATCTGGGAAATCTGATGGGGAAGGCTGAGACTGTTGCCTTGGCAAAAGAGGGAGAGAATACCTTTCCTTTCCTACAGCCCTCTGAAAACAGGCCCCTGACATTTGGCTCCTCTCACACTTGGACCTGTCTCTTCTCTTCAGAGAGCAAGACATTTGAGATCAAGTTTTTGATCTTGAAACCAGGTTTTCCTGCCAGGTTTTCGGGCCAGAGATTCTTTTTTTCTCTCCCTTCTGAGTATTTTTCCCCTGGCCTTCCTTCTGGGTATGTGGCTCTAGCTAGAGTTGGAGAGGGATAGTGGAAAAAAAGCAAATTAAACTCCATCTCAAAGGGATCCCAAACAGACAGCTTCTGCCCAGTGAGAGAGATAGGGGATCAGACAGCATCTGCAAGCAGCTCTAGAGACTGCAATCAACAAGCTGTCCCCACTTCTCCAGGGTCTCCCCTGTACTCCCTGGTTGCCTCTCACCTATGGCTCTGCTGATGATCTCAGAGGCTGGGAATGAGTCCACTCCCTTCTCCATAAGCATGCATGCTCGTGCGCGCATGCATACACAGACACACACACACACACACACACACAGAGGCAGCCATGGGTTTTATTTTCCTGTGGTTTTTGTACAGCCGAAGAAGGGGAGGTTAACGAGCAACCTTTCCCACGTGTCGCAGGTGAATGCCAGCCTCTCACTGCGCTGAAATAGCTCAGGGTCTGGTGGTGGATTACAGAGCCACAGGTGGCATTCAAGGTCTTCTCTGGCCCCAAGCTCTCTTTCTGACCTTTAACTGCTCTCTTTCTCTTGTCAGGCTGGTGTTACTGCTTTCCCAGGGGTGTATGGGGTGTTCAGGGAGGACTAGCATCTCTGATATGAGGGCTGCTGAGCCCTTTTCAGGGCTGTTCATTCACCTTTGGTGTCCACCTGTCACCCAACTCTCACTATGAATCCAAGAAACTGTAGCATGTGCAGAGGCCATACTCTGGTAAAGCTATCTCAGCAGACGGGCTAATCCAGGCTGAGGGTAACTGAGGAACTTCAAACCCATCAGTGAATTAGGGAGATGTCTACCCCAAGCATGTGAAGACTTCCCCCCGGCACAATGGCTGGATAAGAACAATTTGTTCCAGTGGCCCTGAAGGTGGCTGAAGCAAGTGCTACGGAACACTTAGAGCTTGGTGAGATATCAAAGACGTCAAGGTCATCCACTGCATCCCGGGCCATCACTAGTCATTCTGACTTTTGTCCTGCCACTGGACTTTGATGACTCTGGAAGAGAAAGTGAGGTTTGATGACTTTGTACAACTTTGCACAACTTTGCCTCAGTTAAATCAGTATGTGCAAATCAAGACATCACCCTTGTCATGTCATTGGTCTCCTTCAAAGAATGAACATTACTCAACAGATAAATCTTAGGGATTTGCCTGAGGTACAAAGAGCTTAATTAGCACCACAAGTGAAATTAGAACTCAGGTCTTCCTGAATATAAATGGAGAACTTTATCTCCTATGCCCTGCAGCCTTCACTAGCCAAGTAGCAGGTGCCAATAAATAAATACTCATTGATTGACTAAGCCCCCACTGCAGCTGGCCCCCTACTCTGGCACCAAGCAA